TGATGACCAATAGAATATGTCCCCCTTCCCCGACATAAGTCTGGCGGTAGTCGGCTCGAACCTTCTCAGGTTGTTGACAGTCCTATGCCCGGTAGAGTAATCGACTCGTGGACAACAAAAATTTTTTTTAAAAAAAGAGATGAGTTTTGATAAATTATTTTCAAACGAAAACACACTTTTCTAAGAAACAAAATTGATAACTCTTCTTTGCATGTCTAAGAATTTGTGTGTATGTCAAAAACATAAAATTTTAAAAAATACGTTTTAAAATTAGTTGTCCACCTGGCGAATACCTGTTTAGGCTGGGAAATAGCCCCCTAGGTGAGGTTCAAGACACTTCTAGACGAGTGACGGGTTCTATATATTCGGGTGACCGAGTAGTCTTCGTAGACCCTCGAGAATAAATATAGTTGAGCCTAGTCCCATACGAGTGCTTGCGGTCCCCCTCATCCGAATTTTCTTTTTGTTTTATCGAAGTTTTGGGACGAGGCACTCGTGTTACTTTTCTTTTCTTTTGGGATTTCCCCAGGAGTTTTGAGGTTTTTCTTTTACTTGAGTCTTTTTCGTCGAGTCTCTCGAGTTTTTTCGTTTTTCCTCGGATTTCCTGGATGATGTTTTCCTCCGGACTTTGCTTTTTGAGATGCATTTAGGTTTGTTATGCGTAAGAAACATCGGATCTCACGGGCATACAGGTTTGTTTTATATTTTACAGCACTTAATTTTCCTGTTTCTACTTGTTGTTGTTCTTCCTGTATAACATGTTATAATTTTCTTGTTTCTACTTGCTACTGTTCTCCCTGTACAGCATGTTACATTTGTCATGTTTCTACCTACTACTGTTCTTCATGTATAGCATGTTGTACTGCTCCTGTTTTTGTCTTACTACTGTTCCACTTGCATTCTACTGTTTGTTCCTGCATCGCACGCTTTACATTTTATAACTTTAAACATGTTGACATTTTTTTTTATAGGATGTTTAGAGGACTACAGGGTCGTTTGATTTGATACTACAACTGGACACCCTAGAAAACTCAAACTCGTCACGTCGAGGAGCTTGGAGCTATCGCAGTGGGCAGCACGGTCATCTTCAACAGCAGAACATGTCTTCCCCAGCAAAATCATTCCTTTTCCTAAAAATTAAACAACAATCCATAGGATTTCGAGGTTGTTCGCCTAGCGCAACATAAATCTTCCACCATTTTCTTTAGGCATTCGTATAGCTCTGTTGTACGATTTAAGCCCTAACTTGTTCTAGGTTCCGAGGTTGTCGTCCGATACGACGTAAACCCTCATATTTTCTAGGCAATTTGTGTGGTCTTGTCACACAAATATAAGCCCTAATTAAATAAAATTGGCAGAATGAAACACTTTAATAACTTTTTCTCAAAATTGGAGCCAAATCGTAGGATGGACTGGGAAGTTACTGGGGTTCTCCTCAGGATCTGTGGTCTCCCCTAGTTTCTCTTCATTTGGATCCTTCAACAATGTTCCAGATTTGAGTCTTTCCCCTTTCACACATATTCGTCCGATTTCGTTGAAAAGACATATCCTTTTAACTTCTTTGAAGACATTATTCCCTGATTTTTATCGAGAGTTTTCTTAGGTGACTTCGGTCATTTAAGATGTAATTAACTATAGGGGCTTGCCCTTATAGGAAGGTTTTCCGAACACAGCCTAAAATAAACTCTATTTAATTCTTTGTATTAAATAGGGGAACTTCTCGGCAAATAAAACGGTTTCGCAGACCAAACGGATGTCATATCTTTCTTAGTTTATTTGATCGAGCCTCATCCTCAAGTCTTGTGTTTATCCCTCGGGGTAGATACAGGATTTGAGGTAGAGTGCTCTTTCATTTAAACTGTGAAAAATATAAGGTCAGTTTGATTTCATATTTTTCTAAAATTATATATATATGTACGTAAATTAAAACGTCCTTCCGAAGCGGGCGACGGGATTTCGATTCCGGCGACCGACAGCTTCTTACGGGCAACCTCCCAAACTTTCTTTTAACTTTCTTTTAGTGCCGACAGTGTGATCCATGTCCATGTTGGATCGTGTCTGTGTTCTTTTCTCCATATCGATGTATAATAGGGGGCATTCAAAAGGAGGCACGAAATAGTAGTGTCTACCATTGTCATCTCAAACACATCGCATGCAAAGAAATCAATGCCATTTTTATAACAATGCAACTAATTTAGCCTAATAAGCACATTGTAATTGGGAGCTAACTTATAAAGACCAAGTAGGATCACCACCCTTAAATGTGATAACTTTGTTATAGTCTCAAAAGATTTTATAGCTCTTTCCAGTTTTCTTGGTTATATAAACTTGATTATTAGGTTTTCATTGTGTTGATATAATACATTTTAGATATATATAATAATTTCAAAATTAAATAAATGAAAAATTAATTCATCTACAAATTTAGTTCAATTGCTCATTATATATGCAATATATATATTAAATGAGTTAAACTCAATTATAGAAGAAACAATCACATGATATAGATTGTTAGATTGAAATTGAAAAAATTAATCATTTACAAAAAACTATAAATAAATAATGGGAAATTTGAACAAAATAGAAGAAAAAAATATTTTAAAAAAGCTTTAAAAAAGAAAAGATAATAGCGAATTAAATTAAGTTATTCAGATCACACAATTTTAAAGTTAAAATTTATTAATCGTGTAACATGTGTATCGGACATGTGGTCATTAATATTTTTTATTTTAATTAGACAAATATAGGACACGTCTGACACATGTTAGGCCCATATCAGGTAAGTGTATGTGCCATGTATATGTTACATGTCTAATACGGTATGCTCAATTACCGCAAAATATCGATGTATTATAAATGCCCATCTAGGCAAAAACTTGTGAAGTAAAGAAAGTGGAACATCATCGATGACATGAATAAGCACATGAAAGAAGTTGATATGTATCTTAGAATAGGATTCATTCGAGAGGTGTACTATCAAAATGATGAGCAATAAGAGGAATGATAAACTGGGGATGTGCATTAATTTTAAAAATCTTAATTAAGATTGCCCAGAGATATTTACCCAATTTCGACCATCCATGCCCTAATAAGCTATGATCAAGTATCTCATGGTCAACTTGCTTGATGCTTTCTGTAACTATTGTCAAACTATGACAATGAGAAAAAAAACACTAAATTTCTGATGACAAAGTCACCTACAACTATCATCATAATGACTATGACAATGAGAAAAAAAAACTAAATTTCTGATGACAAAGTCACCTACAACTATCGAGTTATGACATTCAAATTAGTAAATCTTAGGGGGATGCTAATTTCTCGCTGGCAACTTTTCCTTTCAAAAATGAAATAATTTAGAGGTCTATAATAATGATCTTGTGATGGTGACTACTCAATCTGAACATAATTTGCTCTTTCCTAATTATTAAAAGATTTAAACTAATTTTAAATATTAAATGAACAAAAAAAAAAGTGTCTACTATCTTTATAGCAAAAACTTTTAAAATGAAACTCTTTCATTAAACATTAAAATTCTTTATTCTTGCGTTATTAAGAAATATAAATTTATCCCATGAAACATAACACCTAAACTTCAGTATTATTGACACTAGTAATTTTTTTAATTATTATATAATATTGATTTCATGAATTATTATAATTTTTATTCTCCCATGCATGGCAAGAGATTATTTTCTTGTATCATCATCACTACAGCATTCATCCATCTAACACTCTATACATAATCTCACTCCTAATTGGCACAAAGTGTATCTATGATTCTATAACTGCACGTGGAAAAAAAAATGCTCTGTTCTTTTTGGGTAATTAGCAGTATGAAGCTTCACATAATGAATATCGTATGATAGCAGGATACATCAGGTGACAATATCCTAATTTAATGTCCCAAGCGCTACCATAGATCATGCAAAGTTTACAATAATCATTTATCACTATTATAACCAACTCCATGCTTTTTAATTATCAGCTCCTTTCAGGAGTAGGTACTCTCAAAAAAAGATACAAATAGTTGGGGATAATTGCATGAGTTTCTACCCCATAGCATACCCAGCATGCATCCAAATAAAGTTCGATCTTAAAAAAGGCCTAGCATGGATAAAGTAAATGAAACAACAGCCATATATATATATGAAATCCTAAAGGTCTAGACAAATCAGCCATTCCAAGCAATAAATCATATTTTTACCACTTGGATGACTGAAGTTTTAGCTATACCTGAAATACTATGCTCATCAAAGATAGAGATAGATAGAGAATGCAAAATGTCATAATACTATAGCATGAAACTAGGAATTCTAAAAGAGAATTGCCAACTAGGAATTCTAAAAGAGAATTTCCAGACATTAGCTAAAGAGAGAAAAACAATTGACATATTTATGTGACAAAGAACGACATTGGCGCCGAGCTTGGACAAAAATAACAATCAACAACAACCAAGCCTTAATCCCACTACGTGGGGTCGGCTACAGCTATGATACAACTCTCACCTTTCTGGGAGCTGGGCACCTGAAAGCTGACTTAGTGAAGAAGAATCTGACAAAAAAATTAATAGGTTAGAAGCATTACGAGCACAACAAATTCTTATGTACTCAGATTGCAACAGAAGTTTAGTCCATACCAATATCATCCATTGTGAAAATATCAGCCAAAGTATCATACTTAGCTGCTAGCCGAGACTCAATCTCCAGGATAATGGACCTCTGATACTCTGTCGGGTTCTATAACAGAGATACCATCATCTTAATGGTGATTTAACTTAGCAACTAATACATCGGTAAAATAAGTTATGGGCATTTTTGCAAACTTAAAAACATTAAACAAGAATTGAAAGAATACCACAGCCATGGTAGCTTGCTGTGGTTGGACTTGCCATAGAAAACTTGGAGTTACTCCAAGAAAGCGATTAGGTACTCCACCAACTCCAAGCTCTACACTATCAGAAATGCTGGGATGCAGACCAGCAATTCGTGAAATACTACTGTTATCTGTATAACTATTATTGTACCCGGTTGACATTGAGCTTAGTGTAATACTGCTTGCACTATCAAGAGAGCTCCTCGACATTGTATTCCACTTCTCTATCTCGTCCTCGTGAATATCTCCATCTTTAGATAGAAGCGGAAGCCTCAATCTCTGAGCCGCCTCAGCAACAACCAAACGATGCTCAAGAGACTCATAAACCTGAAACAGCAAGATAAGTCGAATGATGTTTATAAAGAAGTGTTCTAGTAAACCATTTCATTCCAGTAAAATGTTCAGAAACTAAATATTCGACCAAAAATACCTTAGGAAGCAGCTTCAAATCATTTTGCAGCCAAGGGATGAGACTAAAAATATATGTAAAAGCTAAACAAAATAAATCCAGAAGGTTCTTCAAAGGGTTGTGCTTAGCTAAACAAAATAGACGCACTAAATTGGAAAGCCAAGATGTTGTGCCGAAGAGGCAAACTCTAAAATCAGCCACATGATAAAAAGAATGCCCACCAGCATGGCTAAACAAGCCTGCATGAAGGGATGAATTTATGCGTGCATAGGTAGCAAGAAAAAAAAAAGAAGATCTTCAAAACTACATCGAAGGCAACATCTAAAAAGAGATAAGACAAAGTAGCAAAATTCATCTATCAAAATAAAAAATCCCTAGGGCGGTCGGCTAAGTCTTGCAACAAGAAAGAATATTACATTGAAGATGACAGTACATTTATCTTATGAAATGTAATAAAGAGGTATGAGAACTCTTTCATGAAAGAGTCTTGGTTTAAAGGACATTACCTTGAATCAAGGGATAATTAAATATTATCCTGTTTACTTTAATTATTTTAAAAAATATTTATTTTCATATAAATAATATCTTACACTAATTTTTTTCAATCTTTCGATCATTGAATCAATAGCAATGGCCACATACTCTCCCCCTTTCTCTCTAAAACTGCCTGAGGGCTCTCTTCATTATCCAAGCAGAGCAAACGGACCTTCCCCTCTCTCCAACCAACCCTCTCTTATTTTTAAGTTCCCCTCTCTCTCCTTTCAATCACTCCCTATATAGGAAAGATTGAGTTCTAATTGGGTGCACGACAAGAGAAGAAGCAATCAAAGAAGCAATCAAAGAACAATCAAAGGAGAGGAAGGATACAAAAGGCAAGAAACATAAAATGGCGATTCAACCAAGAATAAAGAATGAAAAATTCAGCTCAAAGAAAGAACTTTTGAAATTTAAAGATACAACTCATATTATCAATCTAGTCTGCACCATTTCCTTGAGGAGTCCTTTTTGGTCAATACAAACAAGAGAACATATTTTGAATTATTATTACCCTTGTAAAGATCTAACTTCAAATCCAATAAAAAACTTGAATTAATCAAGGTCAATTGAAATGCCCATATTTTAGGATGAAAATAAAAAATTTCTAGGAAACTTCAATAATAATCTTGTATAGCTACACATAAGTTAATAGTTAAGAACTTTATCACAGTCAGCAAAACCAAAAATTTCCATTGAGTGGCATTTAATTACTTGACAAAAGAGGTATAGGTACAATCTATTTAGATTTATAATGATAAGATGGGAATTAAATAACACACCACAATAACATGAGAGGAAAGAAAATGGGAAGGATTCATGAATGATGATTATTTTGTAGATATCTTATTCTACTCGATCCACTCCACACTTGTCGAGCTACAACCATCTGCTCTTCAACCATTTTTGCTTGGGAATAATTAGCAGTCACAATGAATTTCATCCTTGCATATGATGCCAACTTTTGGATAAGATCTTATAAGCTTTGGTTCATACTTCTTATCCTTCATCCCTCATCCACAGCTTCCTACTCCGATCCATCACCTTGCTTACTACGACTAATGTAAAATGTTGAAATCTTTCTAATTCGACCAATGTTGAAATCGTAGATTTTTCCTATCTTTGGCCAACCTTGCATGCAGCCCTTGTTCCACATATTCACACCCAAAGTTGGGCCTAAACAGCATTGTAGAGTATATAACAATTTTCAATTATTTCTCTTGAAAATCTGAAGAATGGAAGAGGATATTTGCTCTTCTATTTAGACGGATCTTCCAGTCTATTTATCCACCTCCCTAAACTAGCAAAACAAATTTTGTAATACCATTTCTGTTGAGATTCAATTGGCAACAACACCATTTGCACAAAATTGTTCAATAACCTCCTTCGCAACTCACCAAAGTTTATTTTCAAACTTCCACCAGTTAGTATTTAACAAATATAGAAACAAAATATGTGTTTAATGGGACAGGGATACCAACAATATCCAACATCATTTATACTTTACTCCATTAAATCCGAGTTTTCAAATCGCAAATCCAATCATCCCCCCCACCCCCC